GACGAGGATGACGAAGACGACCGACGGCCAGGCCGCAGGCCAACCAGGAGATATGACCCCGAGTCCGACGCTGTAGATCTCGTGGAAGCCCTCCGACACTCCAAGGTCGACCCGGAGCCACTAATCGAGATCCTCCCGAAATTGACCGACAGGCAGATCCTCGACCTCCGCGTCGAGTTCAAGAAACACTACAAGCTCCAAGGCCAAGGCGTCAACGTTGCAAAGCTCATCAAGTCCAAACTAGTCCCAAGCGCCTTTGGAAAAGCCTGCTACGCCACCGCCCTGGGCCGCTGGGAGAGCGAAGCCTACTGGGCGAACTTCTGGTTTCAATCCAACACCAGCCGCCGCGAACTCCTCATCGAAACCTTGTTTGGTCGCACAAACGCCGAGATCCGCGAGATCAAACTCGCGTTTAAAGACAAACGCTACAACGACAGTCTAGAGAGGTGCATGAAGGCTGAATTGAAAGCGGATAAATTCCGCATGGCTGTGCTACTGGTGTTGGAGGAGAACCGGCAGGAGGAGAGTGGCGTGTTGTACGCAGATTCCATCAGGGACGACGTGAGGAGGTTGCATGAGGCAATCATATCTGAGAAGGGGGGGGAAACGCTCATGATTCAGATTTGCGTCACGAGGAGCGACGCGCAGCTCAGGGAGATATTGAAGGTTTACGAACAGACTTACCGGAAGAATTTCGCCAGGGAGATGCTGAAACGGAGCACGAATCTCGTCGTATGTATCCCCCTCACCTCATGATGACCCCTCTTTCTCCCTCCCTCCCTCCCTCCCTCCCTCCCCTTACATATATATACACGCCCCGGCCCGACTAACACGCCCCCTCTTTGCAGGGCGAAACCCTCGCACACATCCTAAACGGCATAATCAACGCCCCCGTCCGTGACGCGCTCCTCCTCCACCAGGCCATCAACGAATCGAGCAAGCAGGCTCGCGAGGAATTGCTGATCAGTCGGCTCGTGAGGTATCATTGGGACCGCACCCACCTGGAGAGGATCAAGGTGGAGTTTAGGAGTAGGTATAAGAGGGAGTTGGCGGTGGCCATAGCGGAGAATACCCAGGGGAGTTTTGGGCTTTTCATGGTGGAGCTGTGTAGGACGAGGTAGGGGGGCCTCACCTCGGTGCGGATGGATCGTGGGGTCCATGGCAACTGAGTGGGATATTTTTTTTTTTTTATCTATCTATTGGGAGAAGATGGGATAGGATAGGATAGGAGAGGAGAGGAGAGGAGAGGAGAGGAGAGGGTGGGGATAAGAGAAATATCTACGATTCTATGGCTTTTTTCTTTTTTTTTGGGAATCGCTCCGCAGTGACAAATATCTATCTACCCCTCAAAAGAAAAAAATATTTCACTTTTCCCCCTCCAGCTCCTCGATCCAATCCCCCAACCCCCTCCCGGTCAGCCTCTCGAAAACCTCCTCATACCTCCCCCTCGTCCCCTCCACAACCCACGCAGGCATCTCCACGCCCCCCTCCACGCCACCCATCCCCCCACCGCTCAGCCAATCCCTCAAAAACTGCTTGTCGAAGCTCTCCTGCGGCCGGCCGGGCTCGTACTTGTCGGCGGGCCAGTAGCGGCTCGAGTCCGGGGTGAGGACCTCGTCGATGAGGACCAGTTCGGGCAAGGGTGAAGAAGAAGCGGGGTCGTCGGCGATAGGGAGAGGGGTGGGCGGGCTGAGGGCGAATTCGAACTTCGTGTCGGCGAGGATCAGGCCCGCGGCGAGGGCGTGGGCGTGGGCTGTGGTGTAGAGGGATGTGGCGAGGGTGGTTAGGCGGGCCGCGAGGGTTGGGCCGAGGAGGGAGGTTACTATGGAGGGATCGTCAGGGGTTTTGTCGCGGAGGTGGGGTGGGTGTAATGTACGTACCTTTATCGGGGTGGATATTCTCATCTACACAACGTCACCAAGAGTTAGCCCAAAAACCCCCTTACACACACACACACTCTCTCTCTCCCCAAAACAACCAGACAAAGGACAGGACCCGGAAAAAAACAAAAAAAACCAACCGTGCATCCCCAGCTCCGCTTTCGTGCTGGGCGTGAACATCGGCCCCCCGGGGAACCTCTCGCACTCCCTCAACCCGGGCGCCACGCGCACCCCGTGCACGGTGCCCGCGGCGCAGTACTCCCTCCACGCGCTCCCGGTGACGTAGCCGCGCACGATGACCTCGACGGGCAGCGGCGCGAGCCTGCGGACCTGCATGGCGCGGTGGCGCAGGGCGCGGGGCACGGCGGGCGGCAGGGCGAGGGTCAGGAAGTGGGTTTTGAGGGGCGGGTGGGCGGCGGCGAGGAGGCGGAACCAGTGGGTGGAGAGGAGGGTGAGGAGGGTGCCCTTTCGGGGGATGCCCTGTTGGTGGGGGGTTAGTGGCGAAAGGTTGGGAAAGCGGGGGGGAGGGGAGGAGGAGGGGGGCGTACGTTCTTCATTACGACGTCGTAGGCTGAGATGCGGTCGGTGGCTATGAAGAGGAGGGTTTGGGCGTCGAGCTGGTAGATGTCTCGGACCTTCCCGCGCGCCACGAGGGGGAGGATGTCGGTGAGGTCTGTTTCGGTGACGAGGTCTGTCGGCGTGGTTGGTGGTGGTGGCTGTTCGGTCTGTGGGGGTGGAGGGTCTGGGGAGGCCATGGTGAGGGTTTTGGGCTGGTTGGCGGTGAATTGGAGGAGTAGGAACGAGGGATGGAGGAAGGGGAGACGAGGAGACTGGGAGACGGGGTGTTCAGTTATTAAAGAAGGGACAGGCTCCTTGCGTCCCCCCACTCAGGCCCCACTCAGGCCCCACTCAGGCCTCACTCAGGCCCCACGCTGGCCTAACACCACCGAATTCCAGTTAAGAGGATACTTAGTCAGCCTCGAGTGGGTCACGTGGTCTCACGGGCCTCGACCGGGTAATCCAGCGTGACGGGAAAACCAAACACCACGTCAATTCAACGATTCCCACGGACGGACAGACAGACAGACAGACAGCAAGACAGCAGGACAGCAATGGAACCGCCATGACCGCCATACCAGTCCTCTGACCAGCCAATGCCTTCGCCTCTCCACCACGACGCCGACGCCTCCACCGCGTCCCCCCATCTCCACCCAAACGACAGCAACAGCAACGGCAACAGCAACGGCAACAACGGCAACATCACAGACCGCAACCACCTCGCCCCCGAAGACGCCTTCTACACCCACAGCTCTCCCCCCCGATGGCAGCGCCACCGCCACCCGAGCCCTAACAGCCGCCCCACCAGCCCATCCCCCAAAAGCCCCGCGGCCCCCTCCTCTCCCCCCCGCCGCCGCCGCCGCGACAAGCCCCGTGGCCGCAGCACCAGCCGGCGGCGCCGGCTCCGCACGTGGAAGAAGCTCCTCTGGGTCAAGCAGTCGTACCCGGACAACTACACGGACCACCAGACGTTCCTGTCGCAGCTGCAGCGCAACCCGCGATTCCAGCCGTACGACTTCTGGCCGCTGATGGCGGACTCGACGGTCATCGTGCAGCACGTGTGCTCGGTGGTCATTTTCGCCTGCTGCTTCGTGGGGATCCACCAGAAGCGCGTGTCGCCCGTCGGCGTGGTGAGCTGGGGCAACGCCGGCACCGTCGTCGGGTGGGGGCTGTGGGACTGGTGGGTGGGGAAGGCGGGCGAGGGGGAGGCCGCAGAGGTATCCGTTGGGGAGGGCGCCGGGGCCGCCGCGGAGGAGGGGAGCGAGACCGCGGGGTCGGCCGGGTCGTCGACGGTGGGCGCTAGGGAGTATGCGAATGGGCTTGGGCTGAAGTTCTCCGCCGCGACGGCGGCGATGGCTTCCCCGCATCGCCCCACGCACTCCCACAGCACGAGCGGCGCGTCCACGCACTCGACCGCCTCTCTCTCCTCCCCCGCGTCCCTCCCGCCCAACTCCCCCCCCCCCTTCTTCTCCCCGCGCAACCACCAGCGCCTCGCGACTGCCAAATCCGCCATCCTGATCTACTACGCCCTCCTCGGGCTGAGCCCCATCCTGAAGTCGCTCACCCGGAGCACGACGCCGGATTCGATATGGGCGATGAGCGCGTGGCTGATGTGCATCAATGTGTTTTTTTTCGATTACGGAGGGGAGGTCAAGTGAGTATTTGTTTTTTCTAAATCCTATCCCCATTTTATGTCCGCGCAGAGGACGGTTTAGGAGATGAGATGTGTTTCTAACGTGTACACTTTTTTTTTTTTGAAACGAACGCAGGTTCCCAGCATCCCTATCCACAAACGCCGCACTGATGGCCTCCACCGTGCTCGCCTCCCGCCTCCCCTCCACCTCCCACGTCTTCTCCCTGACCCTCTTCTCAATCGAGGTCTTTGGGCTCTTCCCCGTGTTCCGCCGCCACCTCCGCCACATATCGTGGGTCGGCCACCTCCTCCTCACCGTCTCCCTGGTCGTGGGCGCCGGCGCCGGGGTGGCCGTCACGGTGTCCGGCGGGGGCTGGAAGGCGGCTGTCTTCGGGGGGGTCGGGGGCAGCGTCGTGATGGGCGGTGCGATGGGGGGGTGCAGTTGGTGGCTGATCGGTTTGCAGAAGTATAAGAATGAGATTCACGGGCCGTGGGATCCGGCGAGGCCGGTTATCAGGAGGAGGTGGGACTAGGGGGGAGAGAATAGAAAAAAATTTTTTCAAATCGCATATGCATATGGGGTTGGGGTTATAGCGCGTGTGACACTAGAGATTGAATACGGTATATTATAGTATAAGTGTATAGTTAACCAGCCAGGCAGACTATAATGCGTATACATACCATATACGATGAACTATGACATGCGCTGCTCATACGAAAATAAGGAATCAGCACCCCGCATATCCTCCATTCGCCGCAATGACCGCACAAGGCCTATCTATCTATCTACCCTTCCTTCAGAGAAAACCCCACAGCATTGTCCGGATCTCCAACGGACTCTCTCCAAACACACGTTGTCGTATATGTTTTGTTTACACACACGGGGCAAAGAAAAATCCAGGGAAAATAAAAAAAAATAAAAAAAAATTGGCTCCGCCCAGGACTCGAACCTGGGACCTCTCGCAGATGGGAAGTGTGAAGAACCCTAAGCGAGAATCATACCACTAGACCAACGGGGCTTGGGAAAGTTCCGGCGTTAAGCGGGTTATGTGCTCTCGCCAAGCCAAGTTTCCAGAGTCTCGACTCGGGTTGGGTGTTTGGGTAGCACGTGACAGCGATCCTGCGTCCGCGGAGGGTTTGCCCTACGTCTTACGCGACGCAGCAGTCTTCCTAGCCGAAGCGACGCTGAAAGTTGGTGTGGAGGACTAGCTCAGGACCGACAACGAAAACGCTCTTGAATCACATCGGCATTGAAGGTATGTGGGGACGATCCGCCGTGTCTTTTTTTTTTTTTTTTTTTATCTTCCCGGTTGCTTGGGGTGGGCTGACGGCTGTGGTGTATATGCAGTTCCTCTATCAAGATGAGTGCGTGGTTACCTGCGAATTGGGCCGGGTTGATGTGCTGACTGGGCTGGTGAATAGCAAAGGGAACTTCTAGCTTTGGCAAACGCCATGTGAGTTTTCTTCTGTGGTGCCTGTTCTTAGCACCGGGTGTTGTGGCGCTGGTTGGTTATCTGACTGGTTTTTTTTTTGCGGAATGTTAGAATAAGACGCACACTTTGTGCCGACGATGCGGTTAGTAGTGCCTCTTGATACAGCAATCTGTAGGAGCGCTGTGAGCGTGGGAGACGGGGCGGAAGTCTGATTTCGCAGGATTGCGTACGGAAATCGCTGACACGAGATATCTTCTGGAACACGCAGGCCGTCGCTCTCTCCATATCCAAAAACACACTTGCTCCTCATGCGGCTACCCAGCAGCTAAGACGCGAAAATGTACACCCTTCTAATCCCATATCACCCCTCAAATACAAGAGCTAACACCCTCCCGTTCGTGACCAGACAACTGGGGCGAAAAAGCCAAACGGAGAAAAACTACCGGAACGGGCAGAATGCAGTACCTCAAGAACGTCGCGCGGAAGTTCAAGAACGGTTTCCAGACCGGCACGCCAAAGGGAGCCAAGGGGCCTGGGGCTGCGGCTGCGGCTGCAGCTTAGGGCGGTGTTTTTTTCTTCCCCTTCTTGATCTGGTTGGAGGAATGGTACATGGCATGGATTGATCGATTGATGGACGGGGAAGGGAGGATGGGCTTTCTAGATATCTACATATCTATGTCAGGGCCGTGGATGGGCTAGGCTAGAGATCCACGATCCACTCATGACCAAGATAAGAAATGCTACTTAAGCTACCTTCCTCCGTCTGCCCGTCTACCTGTTTGCTTGCTCGGTCTAGTCTATGGTGTATCACGTTCAACCCTTAAAAAAAAAGGTCTCTATAGACATACATCGGAATGACGAGATATTTTTGTTTTCTCCCCGCTGCTGGGGGATAATCAGGCTGCTGCTTTTTTATTTTTTTGGGAGGAGAGCTGAGTTCCGGAGGACACTTCCCGTTCCCGAGCCGTAGTCCCAGGGATCGACATGGCCTCTCATGAAACAGCAGGCGACATCGCCGCTCGCCCACTCCCTATGACAAATCCCCATCACCCCCTGCTACCCCTCTCCCAAACCCTAACCTCTCCACCTCCCCCAACCCAATACACCACCTCCCCCTCCTCCACCCCGCCATCCCCCCCAACAGTAACCCTCAACACCCCACTACAATCCCTCGCGACGCCCGTCTCCAGCAGCCGTAGTCCCATGACGTAGTCCGCCCTGTGCGCGAGGGTCGTGAGCAGCGCGGTGTGCGCGCATTCGAGCGGCGTCTCGGGGGTTTGGGGGCGGGGAAGGGAGGAGAGAGTTAGGATTGTCGTTGCGGCCTGGAAGGGGATTAGTTGATTGGGTGAGCAGTGGGTAGTGGGGTGGTAAGGGGGTACGTACGCCGTCGTCACCAGAGGCGGAGGAAGGGAATATGTCGTCCAGAATGTCCTGCACCACGATGGCTTCACTAGACGGAGGCGCAGAAGCAACGAGCCAGTCCACCCCGTCAACCACCACCAAAACCCTCCCCTCACCCTTCCCCAACCCCCCCAGCAGCTCCCGCTTCAACCCCGCGACCCCATCCCGCCCGCACAGCCCGTCCAGGAACACCCACCGTGCCTCCTTCTCCAGGTCCAGGCCGAGCTTCTTCGCGCCGTCGACCCAGAACACTCGGTCGCGGAGGAAACTGAGCATTATGACTTTTGTGTTTGTGGCGGGGGTGGGGGATGCGAGGGCGCTGTGGAGGAAGCGCAGGAGGAGCCAGTTTGTGGAGGCGCCGAGGACGGAGGTTAGGAGGATGAGGCGGGGTGGTTGTTGTTGGGTGGCGGGGAGGGTGAGGTAGGAGGATAGGAGGGGCGGGATTGCGGGGAGGGTTGGTGGCATTGTGGGTCCGATGCAAATGCCACTTGTTGTTGAAGTGGTCAAATCATTACTGCTTAGGTGGATCAATCAGCTTAATGTAATTTATTCGATGGATGAAAGACCCGGACTTGGCGATACAAGACAACCAAAATGCGCCCTGCACTCACCCACGGCTCACCCAGATGACGCCGCTTTAGCTGGGTGAGCTGGGTGATCTGGGTGAGGCAGCACCTGAGCTGGGTGATCACCAACACCTTCAATTAGACACCCCCGAGCCAGCACCTAGATTCCAACCTAGTGGGTCTAAAAATGGAGAGAGCGGCAGAGTCCACCATAAGATGGGACGGCTTCCCTCCTCTCTTGGTCGCCTACAGTGCCGTTTCTTATCCTCCCAACCTTTCCTCGACTGTCGCACTCATCGCGTTGCATCATCTCATTCAGCCTCTTCATCAGCGTTTATCTCAGCTACCCTTCCATGGCTAGGAAAGAGGCTACGGCAGAAGAACTGCTGGCTCGAGCCGAAGCAAACGGATACGAAAGAGGAGCCCACCGAGAGAAGGACAGCGTTAGAGATGCTAATAGGCATATTGAAAAAACCAAAAAGAATCAGGACGGTTTCCTATGTCTCTATGTAAAGTAAGTATAGAGACAGATTTGACATTGTCACTAGAACCGTGCTTACACTGTTCCGAAAGATTCATGGCCTTACAAGCGAAGGAAGATAACCTCAAGAACGGAACACCTATTCCTGACGAAGCCGCCTTTATAGATACAGTCAGAGGTAACTGCTTAGGGAAGGGAGCACCTGCTCCTGACATAGAGACTGTCAAAGACTTTATCCGTTTCTACATCGCTACTAGTCAAGGACGACTCGACCGTCGATCTACTGTTGATTCAGTAAATACATACGCAGAATGGTTCTTCGCTGGCTTTAGTCGGGTCACAGGGACTCCAACTGATAAAGAGGAGAGAAGCGAAGTTTTTAATGTAAGTGTGTCCTATAGACAGGTTAAGTAATGAAATTAATTGGCCTTTTAACAGTGGGTTCGGAGAACGCTAACCAAAGAAGGCGTGATCGTGAACAAGAGGAGGCCAAAGTATTTATTTGGTAAAGAAGACTTGACGGAAGTTCTTCTTACACTTTGGACAAAAGATGATTTGATATTCATTCATGAACGCAGCCGAATACAGTTTACATTCATTTTTCATGTTTATTGCTGGACTGGGGCAAGGCTTGGTGCTTTTTTCACTGGAGGCCTCCACTATAAGGTAAGTTACAAAAGAGTACACATCTGGAGAACCTCTTTAACTTCTTAAGGATCTCGAACTCGTCATGCAACGCCTCCCTGGTGGTGGCTAGACACTTATCTATAAGATTAATCAGCGCTGGGTAAAGAACAACCGTGACCCTGAAAATATATCGTATGATTTCTCTTTTTTATTCGTAGTGGCATAGGTCCAACTGACAAGATACTAGGTTTGGCGCTGCTGGCAGAGAACACGCGAAACTTCTATACAACGATGGTGCGCTTTTACTTGCAATGGCTATTGCAGATGAGGCTCTCTTTGGCTTCAGCTCAATGGAGGATTTATGGAAACAGGAAATCCCTCAAGGAGAAGACGAAGTTAGCCTTCGATGGAATGAATCTGTAAAGGACCTGCCGATCTTGCGGAAGGCAACTATGAAAGACGGTGTCACCGAAGAGCCAATGAAAAAAGCAGCATTCCTTAAAATATACCAGTCTTCGTTAAAGAATGCAGGATACTTGTGTGGCACTTCAATTTACGCAATACGTCGTTACCTAGGGAAGATGGTTGATGGTGAGTTTTAAGCTTGAAAATTTTTGAAAAACATAAACTTTGCTGATAAGTCGTTTACAGAGAGATACACTGAGACTGAGCGCTCCCAACATATAACCTAGAGTGACCCTCGTGTTTTCGGCCAAAGCTACGTGGCAAACTGTTCATCTGTTGATGGACAGGCAGCTTTTCTAGGCGAAGCAGCTCAACATGACCATATCAACTATTTTCAGGGTTTTCGGAAATTCCACGAGAAAGGCCTTCCCGACAAGCTTCCAGCTAAAATTGAAGCTTCCCTTAAGCAAGATTCAGAGCTTCTTAGGCTGAAGAGCGAAGTCCAGCAGCTGGAAGTTAACGAGAATGCCAATTTTCACGAGATCAGCATGGCAAAAGCCAAAGTCCGCGATTATCTCCGTAGCCTCAAGGCTAAAACTCTTCAACAATATAAACAGGATTGGGTCCAGAACCGAAGGGACTGGAAAGTTATAACTCGAGGGAAAGAACCAACTGAAAATGTCAACAAAACAGACCTTACCCGGAGTTTGTTTTTAGTACTGCCTGAACGTGACCGCCTCTCCACGATGATGGCTTCCGACAAACCTTTAACAGAAGGGGAGATGCGACAGGCGATGCGAGACTTGCATTCTCTATGTGTCCGAGATTATACAGTCTTGTACCGACCAGGGGAAGAGCCTGTCGATGGTGCCTGCCCGGTTAAATACTGTCGCTTGGAAATGGAAAGGTAAGTGTTTCTATTGACTTTCACTTGGGTTAGATTTAACTGTGACAGTATTACTAAATCTCAACGAAGCGTCCACATTCACGAATGCCAGCGCAGAGAGCTTGCAAGAACGCTCGGACAACTGCAATCAGAGCTACACTATTGCTTTCAGTGTTTCAATTGGTTCAATGCCGACATATGGGATGATCATTGCCAATTG